TTCTCCTAGAAAGGTGTTTCACATGCAGATGATAAAGACCAAACCAACGGCTGCGCTGCAGGTCTGCTTCTCATTTGTACTTGTCCGTTTCTGTTGATATTGACAAAATGAAATTCTAGCAACTTGCTTCGACTGTTCTTTTTGATACTTACAAACATGTACTAGGTTTTACTATATTGTGCTTTTCAAAGCCGTAACTCTTAAAAAATTTGTTTTTGCAATTGTTTGCTAATACTTTATTTTAATAAACCTCAAAACCTGAAAAAAAAACTCTACCTGTCAAATAAATTTTAAAAAGTGCAACTGTCCCTTCAGGTCTTGGTTTTTAACTTAGTCTTTGATTCTCGGAGCTGCCTTGTATTTTCAAATGGGATCTAATTTTGCTGTTCAGTTTCCTAGGGATACCGTAATAAAATACCACAAGCTGGGCAGCTTTAAACAACCGATATTCTCTCAATGGATGATTCTAGAGGCTAGAAGTCTAAAATCAAGGTGTTGGCAGAGTTGGTTTCACCTAAATAGCCCAAGGGAGAATGTGTTCCCTGTATCTTTCCTAGCTTCTGAGGGCTGCTGGCAACCCCACACCTTCCTGTCTTGTAGATGTCACTCCAATCTCTGCCTCTGCCTAATCCAGTCAGTGATTAGGGCCTACCCTCAGCCAGTATGACTTTATTTTGACTACATCGTAAAGACCCTACTTCCAAATAAAATCACATTCAGATACACCAAAATTATGTGAATTTTAAGGAAACTCTATTCAACCTAGTATGGCTGGCAACTAAAAACACCTAACTGACTCAGTTAAACTCCAAAGTGGTGTTAAGAGTGGAGTCTATCAATTGCTTTAAACAGCATTCTGACCTCAGAATCAGCCCTTAAGGCATTCTGCTCTGGCTGAAAAGCCCATGAGAGCTTGGCAGGCATGGAAAGCCAAGACACCGTGGCAGAAAAAATGTCCTATGTGAAGGATCTCTGTGAATGAGACCCCAGTGGAAAGAAGTGGCCATCAAAGGATATACTTTTCTCTAAAGATAGGAGAGAACTTCCACTTTGAGCCTCAAGTGGTCATTGATGTCATACATAAGAGTGTTAATTGTGAAATTAACAAGAGCCGCTGTGCAGGACCTCTATCCTCAATGACTTGCATTATGAGAGTTAACTGTAAAACTGGTTCTCAGACAGTTTGTGTGTGTGTGTGATGTGTGAATTGTTGATATCTTTACTTACTATAGAGTTAGTCTTCTGTATACAAAGCTAATGGAAAATGAATCTTTTTTTTTAACAGGCAGAGTGGACAGTGAGAGAGAGAAACAGAGAGAAAGGTCTTCCTTTGCCATTGGTTCACCCTCCAATGGCCGCTGTGGCCAGTGCGCTGCGGCCAGCACACCGCGCTGATCCGAAGGCAGGAGCCAGGTACTTATCCTGGTCTCCCATGGGGTGCAGGACCCAAGCACTTGGGCCATCCTCCACTGCACTCCCTGGCCACAGCAGAGAGCTGGCCTGGAAGATGGGAAACCAGGACAGAATCCAGCGCCCCAACCAGGACTAGAACCCAGTGTGCCAGCACCGCAAGGCGGAGGATTAGCCTAGTGAGCCACGGCGCCGGCTCGGAAAATGAATCTTAATGAAGAATGAGACTGGCAAGGGGAGAGGGAGGAGGAGGTGCAGTGGAAATTGGGGTGGGAGGGCAGGTATGGTGGAAAGAACCACTATATTCCTAAAGTTAAACTTAAGAAACTTCTACCCATTAAATAAAAGGTTTCTTTGGGGAAAAAAAAATTAAAAAAAAATAAAAGAGTGGGGTCTATGCACTATCTGCTTTACTCTTGATTCATCCTTAAGGTAGGCACCTAGGAGGTAGAAAAATGAAGAGCCATAAAACATGCTCAAGGTCATATGGCTAGTAAGAGGCAGAGTTAGAAATCAAGCTGGGGCCAGCACCGTGGCTCACTTGGTTAATCCTCCATCTGTGGCACCAGCATCCCATATGGGTACCGGTTTCTAGTCCCGGTTGCTCCTCTTGCAGTCCAGCTCTCTGCTGCAGCCTGGGAGGGCAGTGGAGGATGGCCCAAGTGCTTGGGCCCCTGAACGCACATGGGAGACCAGGTAGAACCACCTGGCTCCTGGCTTCGGATTGGCGTAGCTCCAGCTGTAGCAGCCATTTGGTTGGTGAATCAAGGAAAGGAAGACCTTTCTTTCTGTCTCTCTCACTATCTAACTTTGTCAAAAAAAAAAAAAAAAAAAAAAAAAAAAAAAAAAAAAAAAAAACAGTGTGAAGTCTATCTCTGAAACAAACCTGTTCTCTTAACTACTGCATGATATTCCAGGCTTTGCCCTAGTTTAAAGTGCAGTGATGCATAAACAAGTCTAGCACCTGCTAATACTAACTGATAGAATAAATAAAGGGGAGAGCGATCCAACATGGGAAGCGAGATACACAGCAGACTCATAGAATGGCAGATGTCCTAAACAGCACTCTGGCCTCAGAACCAGCCCTAAAGGCATTCGGATCCGGCTGAAAAGCCCATGAGAGTATTTCAGGCATAGGCATGGAAAGCCAAGACACTGGCAAAAAAAAAAAAAAAAAAAACCTAAATGAAAGATAGATCTCTGTGAGATCCCAGTGGAAAGAACAGGTCTTCAAAGAAGGAGGTACCTTTCTCTGAAGGGAGGAGAGAACTTCCACTTTGACTATGACCTTGTCTAAATAAGATAAGAGTCGGTGAACTCATGACTGGAGCATAGGGAGATTACTGATGCCATAAACAGGAGTGTCAATTTGTAAAGTCAACAACAGGAGTCACTGTGCACTTACTCTTCATGTAGGATCTCTGTCCTTAATGTGCTGTACATTGAGATTTAATGCTATAACGAGTACTCAAACAGTATTTTTCACTTTGTGTTTCTATGTGGGTGCAAACTGTTGAAATCTTTACTTAATGTATACTAAACTGATCTTCTGTATATAAAGAAAATTGAAAATGAATCTTGATAAGAATGGAAGGGGAGAGAGAGTGGGAAAGGGGAGGGTTGCGGGTGGGAGGGAAGTCATTGGGGAGGGGGGGAAGCCAATGTAATCCATAAGCTGTATTTTGGAAATCTATATTCATTAAATAAAAGTTAAAAAAAATAAAATAAAATAAAAAAAGAAAGAAAGTGCAGTGATGTTCTCCCAGTCCCCAACACTTAGCTATAAAAGGAAAATGATCCTCGTATCAGTCCGAGGCTAGATGTCCACATCTCAGCACTGTTGGTTACTCTACCCTCTCTGTACCTTGAGTGAAAGCCAAAGTCACTCTAACAGCAGAGAACCAGGAAGACTCCTGAGAGCACAGAACGGCTGCTGTCAGTAGTCAGGTCACAAACCCACTTCAGTGGCAGTGTCAGAAAGAGACCTGCCAAGCTCTGGATCACAGGGAAGACTTTCTCTTTCTTTTTAGAAAGAATGATTTATTTATTTGAAGGTCAAGTTAGAGAGAGAGAAAGAGATCTTCCATCTACTGGTTCACTCCCCAAATGGCTGCACTGGCCAGAACTAGGCCAAGCCTAAGCCAGGAGCCAAGAGATTCTTCCGAGTCTCCCATGTGGGTGCAAGGACCCAAGGACTTGAGCCATCTTCCACTGTTTTCCCAAGCCATAGCAGAGAGCTGGATTGGAAGAGGAGCAGCCGGGACTCAAACCAGAGCCCATATGGGATGCCAGCACTTCCGGCGGCGGCTTTACCCCACCACAATGCCAGCCCCAGGGAAGACTTTCGACTGAATGAGGACTGCCTCAGAACTCCAGGGTGGGTCTCTCCTGTGAGGATTCAATGACAAACTGAGATCTGGCCAGAAGCCTTTAGAGGACGAGGAGAGTCATTTCTTCAAAAAGATTTGACCCAAGCTCTATTGAGTTTTTGAACCTAAGAGATTTGCCCTTGTATCTAAACTGATTTCCCGCTCCTGTGAAAGAGATTCTGTGACCCAATTACTCCCTAGGGCAAGAGTATCAGGTCCCAGCAGGGGTCCCTGACATGTACCAGAGGTGGGTCAGTCTATCCTAAGGTAGAAAGAGATGAATGTGTTTTAAACTTCAAACCCAGGGTAACATATAACCAGTGGACAATTTGTCTCTCTCTACAGCTGAACCAGGGTCTGAAAAAATTTCAATCCATAAAGGAGGCTTATCCTATAATTTTTCTGGTGTTTAATAAGACTACTACATATTCTTCACAGAAATATTGAAGAGATAAATAAAAAGAAAATTAAAATCACCCATTAGCCTACCATCCAGAGACACCTGCTATAAATAAAAACATTTGTATTCATATCCTCCCAGATATTTTTCTAAGAATTTCCCCTTGGAAAAAAACGCTAATGTTCATCATTTTGCAATCTTTTTCTCTAACCTGAAAATTTATCGAAAACATCTTTTCATTTCTTAAAGTGCCATTTTCGGATAGGACTTTTCATGACTGTATAATAACTGATTCTATGAATATTTGCATTGTTGAATTGTTACTCTGTTTAATATTTACATTGTTCCAGGTTTTTGCTGTAATAACCAATACTGCAAAATTTAATGTTCCCACTAAATCTTCGCAAATGATTTATTTTCTCAGACTAAGCTCCTAAAAATGTAATTACTAGGTCGAAATCTATGTAACACTCAAGGTCTTTTCTATATGTATTACTAAGCCTTCTACCAGGATGACTATACCAACTCATACTCCCACCAGCAGTGAACGAAGGAATCTATTTTGCGCACCTTTGCCAATAGTGGATTTTGTGATTAAAAAAAAAATCTTGATAGTAGCCCTTCTTTTACAAAAGCATTCACACTGCTGAAAAACAAGATTTTTCCAGCCAAGGAGTGCATTTGAGTCACTAAAAGATTAGTCCTATTATTCTGAAGCCATTTAATTTCTCTCCTGGGGGCCTGATGTAGCTTTTCTACTCATTGATGTCTTGGCAAACGAAACAGCGAGGAGGAGCTCAAATGAAAAATCGAAAACGTACACACTCTCCTGTCTCTGCAGATACTGAAGAGGCCAGTGCTCCAGTCCCCGCCCGTCTGTACAATCGCCGTGACTGTGGTCCTAGCACTGGCCCCGCGGACCGGCTGCTTCACCACCGTGCCGGCTGCTCCATGGCTCCTGGAAAATCAAGGACAGAGGTGAACTTGGAAACCAAGATGCTTCAGAAGGGTAACATGAGGCCAGGGCAGAGCAAAAACAGGGAAGTTAGGACCCAGTTGTGCCCAAGGGCTCCTAACTCACAGCCCAAGCTGCCTTCATACCCTCCCCCTCCTGCACCGTGGCATTCTCCTCTGGACTTTTTGCCCTAACAGCATTATTATTCCAAATCCTTTCACTCAAATTCAACATCCTGTCCACTTCTTCAGGGTTTCGTAACAGGAAAGTTCACAAATTTGAAACCAAGTAGTCTCGGTTTAAATCCCAGCATGCCAATTCCTGGAGGCTTGATCTTGGTTATGTGGCTTAACCTCTCTGCTTTCCATTGGTTCAGATGAAAAAAACTACCTCTGGGGTTCCTGTGTGAGTGAAGGACATATAATGAGACTACTGTGTCCAGAGGGTGTAACAAGGTGACCCTCGGTGAGCTGCACCCTCAAGTATTGAACCCTGATAAGGAACCAGACTGAGCAGACAGTCTTAGCATTCTGAATTAGGAAATGAAGGCCAAGGGCGAGACCTCAAATACAAGGTGAGGAAAACTTCCTTCTCATGCTGACGCCGAATCAACTTTACCTGAACGTCAACTACTGGAGTGCCGGCCGTGGTGCAGGACAAGCTGTACCTGACCTCATGGAAGGCGTGGAGTGCTCACAGAATGAGCCCCAGCCTGGCCAATGTGGTCGTTACTGTGTTCTGTGCTTCTCGGCCCTTGTAAAGTTTGTACCTCATGCTCTCTCACCAGGTGCTGGCTTCTACCATGTTATGATCCAGCATGAAGACCCTCACCAGATGCGGCCTCCAGAATACGGAGCCAAGTAAACTTCCACTGGTTATGATTTAAAAAAAAAAAAAAAAAAGAGGCAAGTATTTAGTGCTGCTTGTGACAATCGAATCCTGTATCAGAATGGCTGAGTCCAGCCTCTGCTTCTAATTCCAGCTTCCTGCTAACACGCACCCTGGGAGGCAGCAGGTGACTCAAGTACTTGGATTCCTGCCACCCACAGGAGACCTGGACTGAATTGCGGGCTCCAGGCTTTGACCCAGCTGTGGGTATTTGGAGAGTTAGCCAAAGGTTGGAAGTTCTGCCTCTGTCTCTTTCTCTTTCAAGGAAATAAAAATAATTTTTTAAACAATAGAGTTTGCACCTGATTTCATACTTGAGACAAAATTAACAAGAGGCAGTGACATTTCTTCCTATAAATGTTGTGGTAGAAATAGTCATTGAAGGGGCCGGCACTGTGCTGTAAAATGGTGTAAAAGGTGAAGCCTCTGCCTGCAGTGCTGGCATCCCATATGGACGCTGGTTCGAGTCCTGGCTGTTCCACTTCCAATCCAGCTTTCTGCTAATGCCCCTGGGAAAGCAGCAGAGGATGGTCCAAGTACTTGGGCCTCTGCATTCATGTAGGAGACCAAGAAGAAGCTCCTGGCTTTGACCTGGCCCAGCCCTGGCCATTGCAGCCATTTGGGGAGTGAAGCAGCATATGGAAGATTTCTCTTTTTCCCCGACTCTTTCTCTCTGTGTATTTCTACCTTTCAAATAAATAAATCTTTATTTAAAAAAAAATGGCCATTGAAGTGCAGCACCTGGTGGCCAGAGCCGAACATTCCTGACCACTCTTAAGGCAACTGAGGGCATCTTGGAAACAGCTGGGAAGCTCTCTGAGAGCCTCTTACACAGCCAATGGCATTTCATGATATCATAATATGGATTGCACTCTTCTTGTTATTAATCAAGGAGTGAACCAGAGGATGGAAGATCTCTTTCAGGTAGATAAAAATAAATCTTAAAAAAAAAAAAAAATCCCCAAGCCTTACTCCAGGCCAAATATACAGGTCTCAAAGGATGAAATATAGTAATCAGTATCATAAGTTTCCTGGGTATTTAAAAGCTCATCATAAAATCACCCTAAAACCTGAAACCAGTGAGTGTAGAGACTGTAACAGCTTCCAAGCCTCCGCTAGCTCACTGGTGATGTCAGCCTAACAAAGATGACAAGGAAAATATAATGGGAGGTAGGCTGGAAGGGAAGAGAAGGCACGGCACATACACAGGTAACATGTCAGTAAGACACTGAGAGACTAACAGAGCTGAAAATGCTGCAGCAGAGCTAGGAAGAGAGGTTAGGGGTGGGAGTGCAGAAGTGTGAAATGGATCTCTGAAACACCCCCAGCCCCTTTATCCAGTAGGTATTACAAAGTCTAACAAGCTTTTCCAGAGCGTGTATAATTATTTGAAACCCAAAAAAAGGTAGTGGCTCCAAAATACATACACTCAGGGCAGACGCTACCTCTTGGGATGCCCACATTCCATCCTGGAGTGCCAGGCTGGAGTCCTGGCTGCTCTGACTCCCACCCAGCTTCCTGCTAATGTGCAGAATGGGGGCCAGCAGATGCTGGCTCACATACTTGGGTACCTGCCACCCACATGAGAGACCCAGATTGAGTTCCACGTCCCTGGCTTCAACCTTGCCCAGTCCTGGCTGTTGCTGGCATTTAGGAAAGGATACAGTACAGGGAAGATCTTTAACAGTCTCTCTCTTTCTGTCAAATAAGGTGAAAATAAATTGAAAAAAAATTTTTAAATACATGTGCTTATATAAAAACTATCAAATATAAATTGTGATCTTATAAAAATCTAGTATGTCAATTTCATTAATTGTCTAATTTAGAATTCACAGTTTCAAAAATAATTTAAGCTCTCTTGTTCAGGAAAAATCCCAAGCATGAATGGATTACCAACAGGGAGTTACTGAAATTAAATGAGTCATTCATAGTTAAATAATTTCTAAAACAAAGTTATAAAAATATTTTCATTTACAATATAGCAAAATATATATATATGTAGAGATAACATATGGTATGGGTACACATTAATATGCCTGTTATGATGTGTTAAGGCCTATTGCTTTGAACTAAATTGTGTTCCACAAAATTCATAAGCTGAAGCCGTAGCCTCCAAGGTGACTATATCTGGGGAAAGGGCCCTTAGGAAATGATTAAAGTTAAATGAGGTCATGGGGAGGGGGTAGATTGTGGCTCAGTAGGATTGAGGGCCTTATAAAAAGAGAGAAAGCTCTCTCCCTCTTCCTTTCTCTCTATCTCTTCTCTCTCTCTCTCCACACGCATGTATATGGAAGACAGACCATGTGGGCACACCTCAGGCCAGAAGAGAACCCTCACCAGAACCCACCTATGCTGGTATCCTGAGTCAGACATTCAGCCTCCAGTATCATAAGAAAAATCAGTCCCTTTGGTTAGAGCCACCCAAGCTATGGTATTTTGTTCTGGCAGTCTGCACAGACTGATCCGTATGAGGGTTCAAAGTCAGCCCTAAAAAAAACGCCTTTATGCATTTCCTATTTCCTGTGCCTCCATGTGAGCCCCTTGAGATCAGAGGGCACATGCCGCTCCTCCTTGCACGCCCAGCATCTAGCACACTACCCTGAAACCTGTGGGTGCACGGTGTTTGTTGAACTGGACCGGACAGACTCATGTGTCTCCTCTGTTATATTTGAGACCTCCACAAATCTACCTTCTCTAAATTTTGCGATTATAACTTTCATTTTCTGGTAAAGGCACAACTCTCAGGTGTGAAGTTTGGAAATAAACGCAAAAGGTACCCAAAAGCTTTCTGCTTCCCTCCACACAATCCAAGGCATTTTCCTGTGATGCCCACAAGTCAGGACTTCAATCAGTGAGCTAACTGTTTCAATCATCTTTGCTCTTAGCACAGGGATTTCTTAGGACTGAGCGCCTAGATCAGATTTTCCCCTGAAATAAACCATTTACAGCTTGTAGCCCTAGAATAGAATCTTTGGTGTCTACCTTAGTATTATGTGCATAGCACCTTTTATTATGGCAAGGAAGTCTGTCTTCTATCTATCCCAAATCAAACAACCAAGAAGATAGATTTCCCTTGGAAAATAAGTTGGGGAGGGGCAGTTTGCCTAATTTGCAACTCAAGAAGTGTATAATTTCTTTCTTTAATACACTGACTCTTTGGTCACTTTTATATTAAAATTCTTGAATTGTCTTTCATTAGCTAAAACACTTCAGTTCAGGATTACTGCTCACATGTCCTAATTAAAACTACAGAGCTACTCCTAACAGCACCTTCTATGTGCCAGGCACTTATTAGTTAAGAACTGAAAGATTATTCAGGTGCTGTGACAATTATCAGACCAAGTAGCTCATGTAGCTTCCTGGACAGCTTTACATTACCCCCAGGGAACCTTATACCACCACGAAGAATAGCAATGAGTTTGGAAATGGTGGGCCACAGAGCTTTGCTAAATCAGATAAATTGTCCACTTACCATCAACTTCAATAAGCTCTTCATTTAGTGGAAAGAGCACAGATTTTAGATTCAGGCACACTTAAGTTGAAATGTGGCTCAGCAGCGTTCTATTTGACTTTGGGAAATACAATTTGTCACAGCCTTCAGCTCTGGTCTCTTCCTCCATAAAAATCTGATTAAAAATATCCTAGCAGGGTGGTCATTTGGTGTAGTAGTTTAGATGCCTGCATCCCATTTTGGAGTCCCTAGGTTGGATTTCCAGCTCCAGCTCCTGACTCTGGCTTCCTGCTAATGCAGACCCCGGGAGGCAGCAGTGATGGCTCAAGTGGTCGGTTTCCTACCACCCACCTGGGACCTCCCAGCCTCAGCCTCTTACCAGCCCAACCGCTGTAGACATTTAGGAAGTACACCAACAGAATGGGGTTCCCTCTCCCCTCCCCCACCCCTTTTCTCCTTTCAAATAAAATTTAAAAGCTCCTCAGTTGCCAAGATTCTCCATGCAGCACATAGTAAGTATGCAGTCAATGGCAGCTACTGTTTTTTTGTTTGTTCCTCAGGATCCTGTAAACACTCTGGGGGCATTCTGTATGTGAGGGTACTTCAGAAATTTCATGAGAAAATTGAATTTAATACAGACACACTAACACCTTTCCCATGACATCTTTGAAGCTGCCTCCTGGGCCACAGTCTCAATTATCACTTGATCTCTAAGTATCTTAAAATTCAGTCAAGGTGACCAATCATCCAATTTTGCCTAGGTAAGAGTTACCAGGATGGGGAAACTGTAGAGTTAAAACTAAGAGTCCCAAGACAGTTGCATCAGAAGCAAAGTGAGTTCTTGAACTACCAGGAGGCAGGAGGCTGACTCCATTCAAAGTCAAATCCATCCCTACCAGGTAACAGTGTAAGGGGGGGGGGGGGGGGATACACACCCTCCCCCCTCTTCACAACTCTATTCTATCTTCCTCTCCGAGCAGCTAAGCACAGTCCTCACTGCTAATGCCTTCTGCGGGGACTTTGGCCTGGGGGCTTCACATCAACCTGTTCCTTAATCAGACTTGCAGGCCCAAGGACTCATTCTGCCTGCACTCGGGCCTCTGATTACTTCAAACTCCTCACTGAAGCCAAAACCCGTGAATTTTTCTTTCAAAGGGGAGGAAATTACTGGCAGACACCAGAAATAGAGTTTCACTTGGTCAGGGTTCAACATTTTAAGTGAAGAACAGACACTCCTTTCCTCTTCCCAACAGCCAAGCAAGCCCAGAAGGAACTCGTCAGCCAGCCCCTCTTCAAGTACACAAGGAGACGCTTAGCAAACACTGCCCAAGCCCAGACTTCTGTTCCCTGGCTTCTTCTTGAGATTGATTTGATACACAACTAAAGAGCAAAAGCTGGAGGGAAAAAAAAAATCCTCCTTCCTACCTCAAGTTGGAAAAAAAATATTGTTCATCTTCAGAAGATACGAGTGGAAACAAGAGAGGTGAATGAGTATTCAATAAGGGAACATCCTCAGGACGCTTGGAGAAGAAACTTGCAAACCAGTTCATGGGAGGAAGTGTTTTCTTGCCACTTGAGCTATCCTTTTCCCTTTAGCAAGAAGATGACTGATACTAAACTTGGACTTGATCCGAAGTGAAATCTCTCTCCGAAAGAATGCTGCCTTGGTATTCTGGAACCCAAGGTCATAACGGTGTGACTGAGATATTTATTTAAAGTTAGACACACACCTAACTGTGGGCATGTCCATTTAACTAATCTGAAGGAAGTGACCTCTGGAGAAAGGTATAAGAAGGAAAATGAAAAGATATCCTTGGGGCTGGTGCCGTGGCGCACTAGGTTGGTTAATCTTCCACCTGCAGTGCTGGCATCCCATATGGGTGCCGGTTCTAGTCACGGTTGCTCCTCTTCCAGTCCAGCTCTCTGCTATGGCCTGGGATAGCAGTGGAGGATGGCCCAAGTCCTTGGGCCCCAGCACCCACATGGGAGGCCAGGAAGAACCACCTGGCTCCTGGTTTCAGATCGGCGTAGCTCCGGCCGTTGTGGCCATTTGGGGAGTGAACCAATGGAAGGAAGACCTTCTCTCTGTCTCTCTCTGTCTGTAACTCTACCTCTCAAATAAATAAATAAATTCTTAAAAAAAAAAAGAACAGAAAAGATATCCTACCTTTGGGAGGAAAATCCCTTTATTTTGAGAGGTCCGTAGAAAGCATTTATCTAGCTAAGTGCCTGCTGGTCTTTCCTTGAAGACACAGAAGCTGCAGCTTTCCACCATATCCCGTGGCTGAGAACCAGCAGGGGCCTCTCTTCACTCCCAGGGTGAGCCCTAGATTCAGCAAGATCATACAAATCCCATAACTTACCCGAAAGCAGGGACAGAAAGGTCCTTCAGCCCATACATCAGGCTGGAATCCCATCTCATGAAAGAGTACTCCTTACCTGTGGGCTGCGCTAGCTGGCCCCAAGCCCCTAAGTCTTTTTACAGCTTGTAGAAACCCCCTGCTTTCCCATGGACTTCCCTGGCAATGCCGGGAAGTGCAGCTTCTTCCTAGTGAACCAGAGGGAGAATCTAGGGAACAAAGCAGGATCGGCTTGTAGTCACCTCTCTCCTGCTCTGCACCCTCAGGGTCTTAGGAGCCTCCCAGGTTTGCCTCTGGGACATGCCTTATGGAAGCATGGACCCTGAAACATTAGAAAATGTCCCCAGAAGACAAAATTAGGTGAAACTGCACATTGAGAAGGATCTGAAATCACATTACATTAGGAAGACAACAGGAGGAAATTGCCAACTATAGTGTACATGCTTTTCACCAGACCCATAGAGAAGGATTAAGTTTATGAACTTCAACTTGAATAAGGTTGCTAGCAAAAGCCTATAATGCCTTCCCAATTAAGATTCCTCAGACACAGTTTCATAAATTACCTACATCCAGAGTTCTGGGCATCTCCCGCTGTCTTCCCAACAGTAAGGATGCAGCCTCCATTCAGCACAGCTATGGTTCTTCTGCTTACCCTCTATTCCAAGGGCTTACCAGTGTCTGGCACATAATAAGCTCTCAATAACGTGTTGAGTAAATGTGCTATACATGTAAATTCAGGTCATAAGAATAACAGAAACTGAGGGGTGATTACTAGCTTTCCCAAAAGATTTACAATAAAAGCCCCCTTTGAAGAGTGAACCATTATACATGTATGCTATGATTCCATATTTTCAAATTTCATTTGTAACCAACTTCTCTAATCAGACAACTATTGTATGCAGTGACTAATGTACATGCCACACAGCTAATTCTTCTGCTTAAAAATTAAATGAAAAAGAAAGGAATGAAGAATGACAAGTATTTGTGACAAAGAAATAACAGCATTAGATCATCACCATTTGGCATAATCTCAACATAATAACTTACCAGAAAAGGATTTTCAAGGGGTACTGAAACTATTAGGTAAAACAAGATTGGGAATAGACTATTTCCAAGGTGTCACTCCACATGCTTCTAATTGCAGAAGAAAACACACACACATACACACACACACACAAAACCCCATATCTTTCCTTGGGAGAGTTCCAGAAGAACTCAGAATGTATCTTAAAATGAAAAGATCTGAAAGTGTTTTTAAAAAGGAAAAAAAAAGTATCTTTACCATAAAAGCTTTGGAAGTAGGACTGGTGCCGCAGCATAGTAGGCTAAGCCTCTACCTGTGCTGTCAGCATCCTATATGGGCTCCAGTTCATGTTCTAGCTGCTCCTCTTCCAATCCAGCATTCTGCTTATGGCCTGGGAAAGCAGAGGAGGGTGGTCCAAGTGCTTGGGCCCCAGCACCCTCGTGGGAAACCTGGATGAAGCTCCTGGCTCCTGGTTTCAGATCAGATCAGCTCCAGCCGTTGTGGCCATTTGGGGAGTGAACTAACGGAAGACCTATTTTTCTCTCTCTCTCCCTCTCTCTCCCTGTAACTCTGCCTCTCAAGTAAATAAAATATTTAAAGAAAAAAAAGCTTTGGGAGTGATTTTAAAAGAAGCCCTTAAAATGTCCTGGAAGTGATCAAAATGTATCATTAATAGAGAATTTTGGAAATTATCAAATTCATTATCACTAAAAGTGAGACAAACTGATTTTATGGGTTTTGTTTGTTTGCAAAAGAGAGTGTAACAGCAAGAGAGTAACACCCACTCCAGTTCACTCCTAAGGACCCACAATGGCCAGTGCTGAACCAGGGCTAAGACAGAAAGGTAATCCAGTCTGCCACCTAAGGGAGAGGAACCCAGTTACTTGAGTCACTGCTTGAGTGGGAAGCTGGAGTCAGGAGCTGGACCAGGAAATCAAACCCAGGTACTCTGGTGAGGGACATGGGTGTCTTCATTACCAGACTATACACTTGCTCCTATGTGCCTTTTAAAAATACTTATTTATTTGAAAGACAGCATGACAGGGTGGAGGGATCTTCTATCCACTGGTTACTCCTCAAATGGCTGCAACAGCCAGGACTGGGCCAGGCTGAAATCAAGAGCGAGGAACTCCATCTTGGTCTCCCACATGAGTGACAGGGGCCCAAGGCCTCTGGGCCATCTTCCACTGCCTTCCCAGGCATGCTAGGAGGAAGCTGGAATAGAAGTGGTATATCTAGAACTTGAACTAGCACTCTGATAGGGGATGTCATTGTCACAAGCAGCAGCTTGACCTGCTGTGCCACAAGGCCTGCCCTTCTATACACTTCTTGATATGATGCAATAGAAGAAATGTTTAGCCTAAATTACATCCAGTCTCTAGATTATGCTGTCCAATACAAATACAATTTCAGTCACATATGCAATTTCAAATTGTTTTTAGACTGTTTAGTAAAAACAGGAGAAATTAAGTTTAATGTAACCCAATATACACAAAATAGTACCATTATTATAGCATATAACCAGTATTGCTTACATTATGAAGATAATTTATGACCTCTTTGCCATATTAAGTTTTTGAAGCCTAGAGTATATTCCACAATGACAGCACACCTCAGTCCAGACTAGCTAAATTTCAGATACTCAATAGCCATATGTGGCAAGTGACCAAGGCACTGGCCATCAGAGCCAAGCCTACCTTCCACTCTAAGAAATAAGAGGGACAGAGAAACAAGTTACCATCTGCTCCTCCTTAGTAAGCATTCCCTTTCTCATATTTCAAGACCCCCAGGAGCAAGAGTCATGTGCTATACAGATTTTTGTTGTCACCTTACAACCAATTAAGCTCTTGTACAGCAGTGAGCAATTAGGAACTTACATAATGCTATCAACTTTGTGTTATTTTTTAATACAGATGTGAAGTTTTGCCCAATGATATTAAGGAAAACCAGTTTAACACAGCATTATATACACGGTGACTAGATCCAGGCACACAGCATACTGAATGAATTTTTAAAAGAGAAAAACATATGGGCATAACGACAGACAACAGAGGACACGAATGAACATATCATTCCCATTCCCACTTCAAAAACGTGTGGTGTCTCTAGGGACAACTGATTTAAACTTCAAATCTCACCCTGGAATCCAAGAACCTTTGTAAGAACGCCCATTTTACTTACCTGTTTCTGGTTTTTCTCTCATTCCTATACAGATTAACGTTCTATTCCTAGATTACTTCCCAAACAAATCATGCATCTGTTCTCAGCCATAAGCCCTTATCCACATATCTTCTTTTTTTAAAGATTCATTTATTTTTATTTAAATAGCAGAGAGACAGACAGACAGACAGACAGAGAAATATCTTCCATCTGCAGGTTCACTCTCCAAATGGCCACAAAGCCTGAGCTGGGCCAGGCTAAAGCCAGGAGCCAAGAACTCCAACCTAGTCTCCCAAATAAGTGTCAGGGGTCCAACCCCTTGAGCCATCTTCCACTGCCTTCCCAGGTACAGTACCAGGAAGCTGGAGTGGAAACTGAAGCTGGACAGCACTCAAGTATAGGATGCTGGCATTGCAAGCAGCAGCTTACCCTGGTGCACAGTAATGCCAGCCCCTATCTGTGAAGTCGTATATGGCTGGGGTCCCTGTAAATTTCTTCCTCCTCTAACCTAATAGCCCTGACAATAATGCCCTTGAATTCTTTGTTCATTGAATAACTGTGCTGCAATCAACTAGGAACAGGGAAATCAAGGTTGCAATCACCATTGCCCTGAAGATAGACCTAACTTTTCATCTCTAGACCTGTTTCTTCCTGAGGCATCTTTGCTGTTTCCTCAGCACAACAGCTACTGTTTTTTACTTGCTGTCTCCTCTGCCCAAAATACTTTTGCCTAGGTACCTGCTAACAAAACTACATAGTTATTTATCTGTAAGCTCACTTCTAGAAATCTGCTGCAATGATACACCTCTATAAATATGGACCATATACATAGGTTATGCATTATATCATTCTAGACAAATTCTATAAAGTACCAAAAACTTATAAACAACACAAATGTCCATCTAGAGGAGACTGGTTAAATAGGAGCCAATGTTGTGGTACAGCAGGTAAAGCTGGTACCTGCAGTGCCAGCATCCCATATGGGCACTAGTTTATGTCCTGGCTGCTCCACTTCTGATCCAGCTCCTTGCTAGTGGCCTGAGAAAAGCAGCAAAAGATGGCCCAAGTGCTTGGGCCCTGCTACCCACATGGGAGTACCAGAGGAAGTTCCTGGCTCCTGGCTTCTGCCTGGCCCAGCTCCAGCACTGCAGACACCTTTGGAGTGAACTAGCAGATGGAAGATCTGTCTGTCTCTCCTCCACTGATTTTCAAATAAATACGTAAATCTATGAAAAA